AGTATAATCAGTATAAAGAGAAAGAAGGAAAACAACTTTTAATGCATCTTTTCAGAGAGTTGGTGTTTCTTTCTGCCATCCGTATCTTTCCATCTCACCACTTACCTCTCTTGCTTTGTCTTTAGTAGGGTACCTTTGTACACCCTTTCTTGTCCCGGGTATTCATAATCTCTTGGGAATTTTGGTTTTGTGTGTATGGTGCTAGGCTTCAGACTCATGGTCTGAAGCATGCTTAGCACATTCCCTACCCCTAAACTACACCTCCAGCCCTATCTGTCTTGAGGCTTTTCGAGGAAGTCATATTGCAACTAATCTGGAAATGAACACACACCCTTCATTGTCAAGGTCGATAAGCAGTTAGCAGGAGAGGAGGAAGTTTGGCATTATTGGCTTGGAAATGTAGAATAAAAGTTCTGAGAAGCAAATTCCAAGTTACAACAGGCTCTTCCTTGTAGGGATCTAGCATTATAGAACATTTTAATGAGATAATCCAGAAAAATGCATTAAACACAGTCCTTGGCCTACGTAGGGTTCAGTAAGTGTTGATCTCCCTACTGCTTTCTGTCTTTCCTTAGTTCTTTTTACCAAGCAGCTCACTGTTCGATGAGAAACAACCATTGTTTGTTTTCCTTGCTAACTGGGAGGCTCTCTGCTGTTTTTGATAAAGATTTTGGTAAAGCAAAGTGGTTAATTTGATCATTTTTGTTTCCTTTTATTTATCTCGTGTTTTGGTATAACTAGGATTTAGTATAGCTGTTAATACAACGTAAATCTTCAATTTTATTACCCACCCATCAGCAAACTAGCTTTTGCGAAAATTGAAGCTAAAAGTTATTTGATAAATGTTCTGTCCTCCTCAATAGTGAAAACGGGCCTGAAAATCATTTTTCAAGGAGCTTTTTCCAAAGGTTTCGAGTTCCTTCAAGCCTTTAAGAAGTTGGAAATGTTATTAAGCATTTTGATTTCTTTTCCTTTCATCTCCTGTTTAGAAATTAATGTCTTGAAAAATTGGCTGCAAATGTTAAGGTTTTTTAAAGATATGAAATCTATTCATCTGTCTAATACAACTGCAACATGTTAAAAAGCATTGGTTCTTTGCTAGACATCTTGGCCAATCTTGGAAAGATTTTTGTCTTTACGTTCTAGACCTTTAGATGCCTTCTATTTTCCTTTTTAGCACTTGGAAAACAAAGCCCTTCAATAATTTTCTCAAATGAAAATTTCAACATGCATTCAGTCTCTGCTCCTTGTAAGGGACTACAAGATAGCAAGGCCTGGTCCCATTCCTATGTTTCATAAAGAGAGATGGTAGATGAAAAGGTAATTTATTTGTTTATTTATTTTTAATTTTTTTTTGTTAATGAAGTGTTTATTTCTCTATTCAGTCTGTTTTCTTTCATGTACTTTGTACCTTTGTCAATGAATAGATAGATGATAAATAGATAAGAGATAGGTAGATAGGTAGGTAGATAGACAGACATATAGCTGTTATGCCTTCTTTTTTATATTTTGTTTTATTTTAATTTTTATTGTTGGTTGTTCAAAACATTACATAGTTCTTGATATATCATACTTCACACTTTGATTTAAGTGGGTTATGAACTCCCATTTTTACCCCGTGTACAGATTGCAGAATCACATGGGTTACACATCCATTGATTTACATATTGTAGAACGGCCCTCGGATTTCCTGTTTCTTCCCTCTAGTTTGTCTTTTCTTTTCCCTGCAGAATGCATCAGTGTCCATTCTGAAAGGTCCTCTAGGTTCATCTTCTTTTTTTGTGGATCATTGTTGCATACAACTTTGTGTAAAACTGCAGTTCAGGAGCAGCCCCTATATGTCTGCATATGGGTGTACATATGGTCGATTTTAGCTTTAGCTTCAAATTTCCTTGAATACGTACACTGTGTGTATTCCCATAATGATAGCTGAGCAATTTCTTTGCTATGGCTCAATTTCTTTCTCTCCTGCATTTCCCTCTCCTTTCCCTCTATATAGTAGTAACTTTCCTAAAAGGCTCATTAAAAAAAAAAAAAAAATCCATAACACGCATGCAAGCAGGCGCCAGGAAATTTAAGTTTATATAACAGTCCCATCCCATTTGGCTGTTTGGCTGAAGCTGGCTGTGTAAAGAGAATGGAATGTGGTGTTGTGATTGCCTTGCTGATGTGTGCACACTGCTCCAGCATGAGCCTCACCATCCACTTCTACTCATCGACTGCCAGGATGTGCACAACCACAGCCTTCAGTTGAGACATACAATCTACATGGAAATGGACCAGGCAGCCTGAGCTGTGTGCTCTGCTTCATCTGGCCACTTCTGTAGGCTCAATAGCCATTGTCAGAGGAATTATGTTGGACCCCGTATTTCAGTACAGTACCACCTCTGACTTCCAGAGGTCATTTTTTAAGACCCCCAAGGCCGCAAACATGTAACTTATTCACTTTGTGACACCACTTAGCTGAGCTACCTGGGCAGTTTTTCCTATAATAAAAGCACCAACCCAACTATCAATCTCCTTTGTGTTGGAGAGTAAGGCACTTAGGCATCTTTAATGTGGCCAAATGATTGATTAATTGGCAGTTGGTTTCTTTTACAAGGACTATTCATGGAGATTCTAGTATATTTCAGTTACACTTAAAATAGAGTGGTTAAAAGGAAAAAGACAATGGTTTGTATTTTCATGAAGTCCTGTGTAGTACTAGGGAGGCAGACATTGAACAATAAAGAAACCATTTATTATTTAATTACAACTGGGCATAGAGCTACAAAGGAGAAATAGAAATAGCTGTATTCCATGACAGCAACTAATAAGATGTATGATTTCATCTCAAGACTCAGAAAGGAAATGAGCGCTAAGCTTAATGTAATTCTAGGAAGTGTATGCAAGGGGCTTGGGGTGAAGTATGAGAAGGATATTCCAGGAAGCGCTAGAATGGCTTGTGCAAAGACCTTGGGGAGGAAGGAACGTGGTATATACCGGGGTCCAAAGGAGGCTCAGTGTGGCTGGAAACCAGTCAAGGAAAGAATGGACTGGGGAGATAGTTCTGGATCATGCTAGGCCTGCCTACCAGGTCTTGTTAATGATTTATGCTTTCTGTTAAAAGTTATAAGAAGCCATTGAAATGTTTTTGATAGTAATTGACATGATTAAATTCCTGTTTCCCTAGTAAAGTCTATTCTGACAGCAATAGCAGAACAGATTGGAAGAAAGAAAAGGTGGACACTAGGATCTAAGCTACAAGGTTGTTACACTAGTCCAGAAAGAAAATCTGGCAGCTTGGCTTAGGGGAGAGGGAATAAAGGAAACAGACTAGAGGGTGATTTAGGAGATTAAACTCAAGAGGACCTGGTGACTGGATATATGAAAGAAACAAGGAGAAATCAGATATGGGTATAGGAGGTGCTCAGATTATTGTCCTGAATAGCTGTCTAGATGGTGTTAACTTCACTGATGCAAGGGCCTGTGAAAGGGACCAGTTGAAGAGAGGGGCAGCTGGAGAGCCTGGTTTGGTAAGGCTGGTCCACTTTGAGATGCCTAGGGGATGGCCAGCCCGAGATGTCAAGTAGATAGCTGACTGAGTCTGAAGATGAGACTCTGAAAATAGAGACCAGAGTATTGCGTATGTAAAATATGGCCAAGCACCGATGAGCCGTCCATCCAGGAGGTGTGGAGTCTGTGAAGTGTTCAGTCACATTTCATGAGTGTTCATCACGTGCTCCCTATCTGCCAGATCATTTGCTAAATATCTGGCACATGAAAAAGAAAAGCATTCATTAGATATTGTAGGTTGTCTCTTTACTCCAAGCCTAAATTACCTTTCCTACCATCCAAGAATAGAGACTCTCAGTGCATCCAGGGAGAACTCTTAGACAGGTGAAGTCTATGTTTGGTCCTGTAATCCTGTGCAAACTTAAGTTCATTTTATTCTCCTTTGGCCTTGCTAGACATAGACTAGTTGGTAAACACATCCTTGTTCTCAACTCCATGTGTTCTTAAAACCCTTCTCCCAGTTTTGAGAGACATTATCACCATTGGCTTTGCCACCTTAGAGCAAGAGCTGCAGGATTGTGTCTTACACTGAGAAAGATAATGCATCTTTTTTTTTAAGGGAATCTGTCTTCAGGCTACAAAATATTCTTCCCATATTTTGTGAGTTACAACTTGCTGATGACTTTCAGATTATGATGATATTGACTTCAATTGTGAAAATTAGGCCACACCCCTCTAGTCTATTCCTAAAATAAGACCAGATCTATTGGCAAAGTGAAATTTATAGCCTCTTTTATTTAGTTCTCTTAAGAGACTCATGGCTTAAAATGGCCTACATTTTAAGACTACATTTCTCAAATTATTGTCTTTAGACCACTTGGATCAGATGCACTGGGATGTACTTGTTATAAATGAAGATTGCTGAACCTTGTCTTACAATTTCTTTTTTCATTGTTCAAGTGGGATAAACCCCAATAGTTTGTATTTTAAACAAGGACCCCAAGTAATTTTTGTGTGTACTAGAATTTAAGAACCATTTTTTAAGAATATTAAAATTTGTACAACACCTTATTAGAATTCTGAGTTGGTAAGAAATTAAATAGTTTTGCAAGCCAGTCAGTATTGTAATATTTTTTCAAGATTAATCATCAAGACATAAGTATTCAAACTTTTCACAGGTATTAGTCAGTTATCCATTGATAAAAAGAAAAGATCTCATTGCACAAATTTCTTTCCCAGTACATGAAATTTCATGTAAGGAAAGGACCAAATGGATAGGGAAAGTAGGAAAGAATGGAGGCACAGAAAAAGCATGCATGGGTGAGAGAGAAGAAATTGATACAGAAGAAAAGGAAAGTGAATTTGGATTCTACGGTAGTTTTTTCTTGGGCATGGTACTGTGAGTTTCTCTTATGCATGGTTGTACTTTACGGATACTTCTAGAGGGACATCCTCTTTGCTGTCTCCAGAACTAGCTAAAGTCTCTGCTTACATTGCCCCCATAGGAAGAGCGCCGCGTGATTTATGTTGGTAAAATCAGACCTGACACTACACGGACAGAACTGAGGGACCGCTTTGAAGTTTTTGGTGAAATTGAGGAGTGCACAGTAAATCTGCGGGATGATGGGTGAGAATCTTCAAGATTATTTCTTGTTTAGAAGCTGACGTATGTAAAAAATTATGGCCCTAAGATTACTGGGATGGGAGTTGCCAGTGTAAGTGCTTTGACAGATGACATGTTGAGTTCAGAACCTTATTTATTTTCTTTCATCCCTATTTATTAATCTTTCTAGTTGAGATTTCCTGTCCCAGAAATAAGTATTTAGCTGCTTGACAGGACAATCACACTGATAAATGGATGCAGTAGCTCAGACGTTGGCCCCAGCAAAGTCTCCCAAAGTAGAAAGGGTTACAGTGCTGTATGTTAATGCTCCTTAACCAGTTTTGAATTTCTCTTCTTTGTCCACTGCAGAGACAGCTATGGTTTCATTACCTACCGCTACACCTGTGATGCTTTTGCTGCTCTTGAAAATGGATATACTTTGCGCAGGTCGAACGAAACTGACTTCCAGCTGTACTTTTGTGGACGCAAGCAATTTTTCAAGTCTAACTATGCAGACCTAGGTATGGATTTTATTGTATGTAGAGTGAGGAATCCATAATGTAGAGCTCAAAATGGAAGCAAACGTACTCTGCAGGCACCTTGGGTTGGAGCATCTCATCACTTTATTTTACTGGAGGGAATATTTGAATGAATTTTTTTTTAAATGTATGAAACAGTTTCAGAATCAAGGGGTCCTAGGTTTTGGCAATAACTGGCAGAAATAAATTCTTGTACTAGCTGCATAGGTGCTTACACTGCTCTGTGTGTGTGTGTGTGTGTGTTTGTGTGTGTGTGTTTACATGTGTTATGTGTATGTTTGTGGTGTATAAAGTGCACACACGTGTCTTTTGTGTGGGTGTGTTTGTGATCTGCTTTTCCTTTCCAAACCTATCCTGAATCCTTTTTGTAAACCTAGCAGTGCCATGTTTGTTTTATGGAACAGAATAGAAGACAGTCCTATTCTCTCTTCCTTATTATTTCACAAGCTCTGAAAAATATTCTTATTTTCTATGAATTGCAAGTTGAGAGGCAAAAGTGAAAGCTTCATAGGCTACATCACTCCACATTTACTTTCTTTGAAGTAGATAAGAAGATGAGCGCGTCCATGTGCTGGACACTGTGCCAGGGGCTTTTCGAGCATTTTCTCATTGAATTACCCCAGTTATTGTAGGGGGTGGACATTACCATTGTCATCCTCATTTCACAGTTAATGAGATGGAACAGTTGTATAGATTCAAGGGGGTAAAATTTGGAAAATATAAAAATTATTAAGAAGAAAAGTAAAATCCCCTCTCAACTCATCTCCCAGAGATAACCACTATTACCCTCTGACTGTGTTGCTTTGCAGTGTTTTGTCTTGGAATGTCTATGTTTGAGGATATGATTTATAGGATTAATACTCTATTAACACATTTTAACGACCATGCAGTATTTTATTGGGATAATAATATCATTGTATTTAATCATTCCATTCCAGAGACAGATTTATTCACTCTTTAGGTTTTTGATAATATAAATAATGCTACAGTGGACATCTTAATTTCCTTTCCAATTTTGATTTTCTTCTTTTGCCTGTCATTCCTTATCTCCCGTGACGATTGTCAGCCTTTTGATTCCTTGAGGAAGGAGTGAAGGAAGGCAAATGCCTTGTGCATATAACATCATTATTCAAAATTAATTTATTATAATCATAAAATTAGCATATGCATGTATTCCTCAGCATTACCAGACATCACTGCTATCGCTCCTTCGTGGTGTAAAGAGAGAAATGAATACCAAATACTAGGATTTCTTTTTTTCTCTTTCCACAAAGTGATGTCTTCTGGAGTAATTGATATTGGTGGTGTGCATTGTTCAGAGGGAATATGCTATAATTCACTTCACAAGCTAAATAGATAGTGTGGAGCAGGGGAGAGGCCGCTGACTGTTAGAGAGATGGAGGCCCAGGGATAAAAATATAAAACGTGGCAAGTCATTTGTTCAAATGTTGGCTGATAAAAACACTCAAGACAGATTGAAGCCTTGAGTTGATTTGACTTATTTCCTTCGGTGATGAAGGCCAGGGTGTTTCTGGTCTCTCAAAACATCTAGAGTTTAAAATAAGCTACCTAGAGGGACCTTAGATCACGATTCATCATGGTAGAGGGAGGATTGGATGGTATTTCCAAATTGAACTGGCACCTCCCTGAAATATTTCTGAGAAGCTTGCCTCCTCCCCTCCTCTCATCTCCCTGCCTAGCCAGCAGCAATAGAAACTTTGCCATTGCTGAGCTCACTCTGTATTTTCTTAGAGGTGTGTTTGATGTGCATGGTGGTAGTGTGGGATTTTCCAGTTCCCTCAAGCTCTCTAGTGGCAGGAGAGGTAGTTTCTCTGAGTGTAGGCATGGTGTCATCAAAAGATCCCTGCGTTGGAATCCTGCCAGCCTCGCTTTGCAACTTGCCTTACCACTGGTCTTGGAGAAATGATTCAACTCCACGAGCTCCTGGTTCCTTCTTGGTGAAATACCTTACCAATACTGTTGTGGAGGCTGTATTAAATAAAAGTTCAGGGAGCTGTTATCACAGTGTCTGGCAGAACATAGGTATTCAATAAGTAGTAAACGTGATCATAATTTAAAACGATAGCGATGGGAAGTTAGAAATTTGGAGTTGTTTTAAGATGGAAGAATCAACACCAGGGCAAGCTTTCGAACTCTAAGAAATTCTCCCCCCCTCTTGTCTTTATTCCCTGAAGAATGCAAATTAAGTGCTTCAGGGCACTGACTATGGTGAAAATAAGATACACTAGACTCTTAAAGGAATTTGGAATTTTTATGAATTTCAAGAATAAAGTGATAATGATGAAATACAAATTAATTTTACCAAGACAGTAAAAAAATGACCTATCAAATTAGACAGGTTGGACCAAGTTTTTGTTTTTATATGCTCCTCTAAGTAAAATTAGCTTACACATCCCATTTTTCTATTATTGAAACTAGTCAAACTAACAATATTCTTAAATAGAGCAAACCATGATGATTTCAGCTACCATTCTTGAGCCCTTTCTATAAATAATACTGAAGTTCAGTGTGACTTGCTAGAGGCCACTCTGTTGAGGCCAGGATGTGAGACCTGATTTATATGAATCTTCAGTATCTGTGTCTTTCTACCATTTGTCTTATAAGCAAAGGATCTTTCTAATACACCTTGATAAAAAAAATATTAAAGAGGAAAGACACAGAAATTATACTGGGACTACAGGATTATAATAGAAGGATGAGTCAGTATTATGAATGTAAAACTTTTTATCAGGAAGTAGTTATATGTAATACTAATGTTCCAACATATAAGGAAAGTGAAATATCACATCCATCATGAATTCCTTTTTAACCCAGAAATGTATGAAATTATTTGCATTTTGAATATATGCATAATTTTACATACACTCTCTTCATTTATTAGTAAATAATTCCCAGATCCCAATACAAATATTTTCAACCATGGTTTGAATAATATACAGGCTTTTGAGATTCATATATTCATTCAACAAACATTAATTGAATACCTACCTAGTGTCCACATTTCCAAATGTGATGTGATTTGCTTCTCTTAATACAGTATCATTATTTATAATAATTCCTTTTGAAAAATAGAGTGGCTTTTAAGTTATTCCTAGAAAATTCTTATCCTATCTTCTGAGTTCCACCATCCTTCTGTTAGTGGAAAAGTGGCAAAGTGAATATTATTGTCTCAGAAATGTGACCACATTCTATTTCATGCAACAAAATAGATTTCTTTTTTTGGGGGGAGGTTACCTGTTGGGTGACACAGCATGATTGTACAACAGTACAGGTGTCAATACTTCCCAGTTAAAAAACTGTTGAAAATAAAAATACAGAAACACTGAAGTTCTGGTGTCACTTAGAATAATCCAAATTTAGGAAATTTAATTATTCTCAAAATTCTCAAAATGAAGGAAGAATATGTGTTCATGTTCTTGATGGCTTCAGGCTGCCTTTTCTCACATGAACCACCATCTGGGCAAATCACCCATCCTGATATAGAAGGCAAAAGGAGGCTGATCTCAAACCCTTTGCACCAAATGACACTTTGTCTCTACCAAAAAAAAAAAAAAAAAAGTTTATTTGAATAACAGCTGCTCAGGACGCCTTAGTAATCTAAGCAAACCATTCATTAGACCATCAAAGAGGGCCATACCCAGTGTAATTTAAGAGTTGAGTATTTGGGATATTACCGGGGAAAGATAGAACCTTTTTATCTTTGTTTTTATGTCTGTGCAAAACTGTGACTCTTGTTGTTCTTACCCAATCTTGTGGGGAAACGTGAACAAGGGATGGTAAGAATGAAAGAAAAAGAAAAGTGAAGGAATTTCCTTGTCTTAAAATCTAAGCAAGTGAAAGTTGATGGAAGGGGTCGAGGGCAGCAGAAAATCAGCCTGGTGCTGGGGCACTTGGAGCTCTGCAGTTCTTTCAGCAAAACAATTCTGTCAACGATTGCGCTTCCATTTTATCTATTACGCTCTTCTATCACTTGGAGCATTTCTTTTGTAATTGACTTGGGAATGCTCATATTTTAGTAGAACTGTTAATGTGTTCCAGAAAGGTCTTGTTTTCCCTTCAAATTAATGTTTTTCAAATAATGAATGTATTTGTAAGAGGCTTTTTATTATACTTCCAAGCCAACCTTTCTCACTTGCAAAAGACCAGCAGGAAATATCTGACTCCTTTGTAGATGTCAATGGAGAAAAATTAGAACTATGTAACAGAATTGCATTTTACATTCCACACTGTGGAAGCACATCTGTTTTGTTAAGGGTTATTTGAAGGAGCACGTGGAATTTTGCACAAAATCTGACTTGGGCTAGTTTAAGGTTCCAAGAGTTTGGTTTTATTTATAGCTGTATATTTGTTCTCTTCTATTAATGAGTAAAGAGGGTGAATGTACCCTCCCGGGCTCTGAAACATTTGTCCGGATCTAATTTGGGGCGAGTTTGCACCTCTGCTGCTGGAGTGTGTAGAGGTTCAGGGGTAGACACAGGGGTTGACTGTATGTCCCTCCTGCCTCAAAAGGGATATAGCAGGTTGGAGACCACGAGAAGTTCTGTTGGTTCTCTTTGTCCCACTTAACTGGCTTGTATGCTTAATGGAACTAACACCCGTGAGGAGGACATTAGTTCCAGTTTGTGCTGACTCTGCATCTAAGTTATTGAGAAGTCCTAAGCAAGTCACTTATGTCAGTGGGAAGAGGAGGATGGTTATCTATAAAACAGAGGTATTAAATGTGCCCTCCCCCACTCAGAAGTGTTTCAATCTTAAAAAAAAAAAATCGATAGGTATATGTTTTTGGAACTTCATGGCTACCTGCTCTGCATATATACATGCATATATCCAATAACATCTGAGCATTGCTTTTTAAAAGCATATTGATTGTCTAAATTGCAAGTGAATGGGATAATCTTGAATTGGGGTGCTTGTGTTAATGGCCGCCAGCAAGGAGTGTATCTAACCTGGCTTGGGTTTCTTTCAGATTCAAACTCAGATGACTTTGACCCTGCTTCCACCAAGAGCAAGTATGACTCTCTGGATTTTGATAGTTTACTGAAAGAAGCTCAGAGAAGCTTGCGCAGGTAACATGTTACCTGGCTGAGGACGACAGAGATGGTGAATACCTCACGGGACAGCGCGCCCTTCCCTAACAGACTATTGCAAGTCATACTTATGAATTTCTCCTCCTTTACACTCTCTGTACAAAAACAAAACAACAAAACAACAACAATACAACAAGAACAAGAACAACCACAACAACAATGGTTTACATGAGCAGAGCTGCTGAAGAAGCAAGAGACAGAGTGATATCCAGTAAGCACAAGTTTATTTATGGGTGTCAGCTTTGCTTTCCCCGGAGTCTCTTGGTGACTGTGTGTGTGTGTGTGTGTGTGTGTGTGTGTGTGTGTGTGTGTGTTCATGTGCATGCGTGCGTGCATGCATGTGTATGGGTACGTGTGCACATGTGCACGCTTGGTTTGGGGGAAGTGTGTGTGTGTGTGTGTGTGTGTGTGTGTGTGTGTGTGTGCCTGTGAGGACTAGGGGCACCTGACCAGAACGTGCAAGGGCAGACCACTTCAAATGGCAGCAGTTCCATGAAGACACATTTAAAACCTAGAACTTCAAAATGTTCACAATCTATTCAAAAGGAAAAAATATATATATACATATATGCATATAAATTTAAAAAGGAAAGAAAACTAATCAATCAACCACAAAACAACCCTAATACGACAGCTGCTGATGTCCAGGGCATCGGCCTCCGTACTCTGTTTTTTAAGAAAGTGCAAAATCAACTTGAAGCAAGCTTTCTCTCCTCACCTAATGATTACGTGACAATCCCGAAGAAACCACAGGTTCCGTAGAACTAACATCCTCTCTCTCTCTCTTTGTCTCTCTCTTTTTCTCTTCCCTCCTGCTTTCTCTCTTTCTCTTTTTTTCTTTCTCTCTCTCTCTTTTCTTTCTTTCTTTTCCCTTTTCCTTTTGCCATGGAATCTGGGTGGGAGAGGATGCTGCGGGCACCAGAATGCTAAACTTTCCTAACATTTTGAAGTTTCTGTAGTTCGTCCTTTGTCCTGACACCCATGTCAATGTCCAAAACGTTGATCTTCCACTGCAAATCTTAAAAGCCTTGTCAATGGTCAAGCGTGCAGCTCGTTCAGCAGTTCTTCCCGAGACGCGGACGCGGTGTTACATTATAAAGGAGAGTTGAGTAGAACTCTCTGGATGTGTTCAGATAGTGTAATCGCTACATTCTCTGATGTAGTTAAGTATTTACAGATGTTAAATGGAGTATTTTTATTTTATGTACATACTATACAATGATGTTCTTTTTTTGTTACAGCTATGCACTGTATATGCAGCCTTCTTTTCGAAACTGCTAAATTTTTCTTAATCGAGAATATTCAAATGTAATTATGAGGTGAACCAATTATTGTACACTAACATATTTAGAAGCTGAACTTACTGCTTATATATATTTGATTGTAAAAAACAAAAAACAAAAAACAAAAGACAGTGTGTGTGTCCGTTGAGTGCAACTACAAAAAAAAAAAAAATGACGCTTTACGCACATCCATCCCTCCTTTCTTAGGTGAGCTTCTATCTGAGCATCTTGTCAAAAACTATCCCAGTCCCCTCAAGGTATTAACCACTTCTGCGATATTTTTCCACATTTTCTTGTTGCTTGTTTTTCTTTGAAGTTTTATACACTGGATTTGTTAGGGGAATGAAATTTTCTCATCTAAAATTTTTCTAGAAGATATCATGATTTTATGTAAAGTCTCTCAATGGGTAACCATTAAGAAATGTTTTTATTTTCTCTATCAACAGTAGTTTTGAAAATAGAGGTCAAAAATCTTTTTAAAATGCTGTTCTGTTTTAATTTTTGTGATTTTAATTTGATACAAAATGCTGAGGTAATAATTACAGTATGATTTTTACAATAATTAATGTGTGTCTGAAGACTATCTCTGAAGCCAGTATCTCTTTCCCTTGGCAGAGTATGACGATGGTATTTATCTGTATTTTTTACAGTTATGCATCCTGTATAAATACTGATATTTCATTCCTTTGTTTACTAAAGAGACATATTTATCAGTTGCAGATAGCCTATTTATTATAAATTATGAGATGATAAAAATAATAAAGCCAGAAGAAATTCCCCTAGGATGCATGGCGGTTGTCAGGTGGGAGTGTAAACTCTTCATTGGGGAAACTCGCCTTTTGCAGAAGCAGTGTTTCTACTTGCACTAGCATGGCCTCTGACGTGACCATGATGTTGTTCTTGATGACATTGCTTCTGCTAAACTCAATAAAAAAAACTTCAGAAAAACCTCCATTTTGAGCATCAGGATTTCATCTGAGTGTGGAGTCCCTGGAATGGAATTCACTGACGTTTGGAGTGTGTATTCAAGTTTCTAAATTGAGATTCGATTACTGTTTGGCTCCCGTGACTTTTCTGGAAGATGTGACATACCTACTACTTAAGCGTTCTTTTCCTTTCTCTCGCCCAACACGATCTTATACAATGGGTCTCACCCCCAGGCCAATGCAGCGGATTTTGACGGCTGCAGTCATTTATCACCAGCATACTGTGTTCTGAGTGAATCCACTGTCTGTCCTGTCGGATGCTTGCTTGAGTTTTTGGCTTCTTATTTCTAAGTAGATAGAAAGCAATAAAAATACTATGACAACATAAAAGAACTTGTTCACAGGTTCTGCGTTACAACAGTAACACACCTTTAATCCGCCTAATTCTTGTTGTTCTGTAGGTTAAATGCAGGTATTTTAACTCTTTGTGAACGCCAAACTAAAGTTTACAGTCTTTCTTTTGGAATTTTGAGTATCTTCTGTTGTAGAATAATAATAAAAAAAGACTATTAAGAGCAATAAATTATTTTTAAGAAATCGATATTTAGTAAATCCTATTATGTGTTTAAGGACCAGATGCGTTCTCTATTTTGCCTTTAAATTTTTTGTGATCCAATTTTAAATACATTCTCTTTTTCGCCCTGGATTGTTGACATGAGTGAACTATTTGGTTTCTTTTCTCACTTATCAAGAGACAACACTACAGACTTCATGTTGAGGATTAATTTATCCCCTCCCCTCCAGTCTGACAAATATTGTCACCATGAAGATAGTTTTCCTCCATGGATGTCAAACCGCATCTCAAATTAGTGGAGCATTTGTACCTTATGCAGACACTGTGGGTAGCCCATCGAAACGTAAGCTGTGTTCCTTTTATTTTTAATTTTAATTTTTTTTTTTGGAGAGAATATTTCCAGTGAACACGTGCACCCCATCTTCACAGGAGGCAATCTCAGCATAGATCTGCAGGGTTTTTAGATGACCCAGGCCATTGCCTTCATACTGTGGTAAGTACCACATCTACAATTTTGGTAACCGAACTGGTGCTTTAGAAAAGTGGGATTTTTTTTTTTTTTTTAAAGAGATGTAGCAGACTAATTCTTCCAGTGCACCCAAATCAATTTTTGCTAAATGACTCCAGGAACACCAGTCGGGCTGTCAACATTCAAAGCAGCAGAGAGGGAACTTTGCACTATTGGGGTAGGACGTTTGGGTCCGTTGAAAAAGGAAACCTTTTCATGCCTTTAGATGTGAGCTTACAGTAGGTGATGATTCTGTGTCCTTCTTTGATGGCTGTAACGAGAACTTCAATCACTGTAGTCTAAGACCTGATCTATAGATGACCTAGAATAGCCATGTAATATAATGTGATGATTCTAAATTTGTACCTATGTGACAGACATTTTTCAATAATGTGAACTGCTGATTTGAAAGAGCTACTTTAAGATTTGTAGGTGAAAGTGTAATACTGTTGGTTGAACTATGCTGAAGAGGGAAAGTGAGAGATTAGTTGAGCCCTTGCTGGGCTTTTTCTTCCACCTGCCAATTCTACATGTATTGTTGTGGTTTTATTCATTGTATGAAAATTCCTGTGATTTTTTTTTTTAATGTGCAGTACACATCAGCCTCACTGAGCTAATAAAGGGAAACGAATGTTTCAAATCTACTTTTGCTTTTCTTATTTATCGTAACCCAACTGCTGGCATGCTTCTCAGATCAGTACACATTCCTTGCTTATTATGATTCTGTTTCCTCTCTGGTTCTGTCCCCCTTCTCCCTGCTTTTCCATATTCATGGATGCATTTCAGCTCTAAGGAAATGGGTGCCTCCTGGATTTTACCTTGTCTTCTTTCAAGCGGTAAAGGCAGCCGTGGTGATTTCTGTAATGAACGTTCGGAGGTGAAAAGTAACATGGGGCTTTATCAAACCGATTAGCTCAGTTTTTGTTCTTAGCCCTGGAAAGTATGTATTTTTTAAGTAGAAGCTACTGTCCCTAGGGAGGGTCCTGTTAAATATTCAGTGTAGGAAGTAATGTTACTGTAGATGGACTGGATCTGTTCAAAGATGTACAACGAGATGTAGCCCTTGTCATCTGTAAGTCATCTGTTTACCTCTGGGATGGGCTGGTAATTGCTGATGTGTTTTCTTGTCAGGATGTCCATTGTGCCTGGGGGTTGATGGTGGTCCTGATGACAGGGAATCCGGTGTTAGCCTTTTGCCCTCCCTAATTTCAGATGGCCCTTGCCACTCTCAACCTCTTGCACTGCAAAATCTAGCATCAGCATAGCATTGGGGCAAGGGGGCTAAGTGTATCCTAGCCCTCTCCCAAAAGTCCCCTAGAAAGTGAAGAATGTTGGTAAATATTGGAAATGGGATAGAACTATCCAGAATGCTATCCAGCATCCAAATGAATGGATTGTCTCTGCTGAGGTCTTAGATTTTTAGGGTGAGGAAGGGAGGAGGGGAGGTCACGGGTAATACTGAAGAAGAAAATTGACCAAATGATGCTATGTCCACCTACAAATATACAACAACGGATGCCCTATATAAAGATAGATGATAGTGCACTAATTAAAATAACAATAACAGAAGGGAGATCAATAGAGTAGAATAAGTGGATGAGGGAGGGAGGAAGAGTGAGAAAGGAAGGTACTGGGAAGGAGACTGGGTAAATTATGTTATGTGCATGTACTGCTATGGCACAATGGATCCCACTATCGAGTATAATTATAATGTGCCAATCAAAAGTCACAAGAAATACTTTTAAAAATGTGCAAACAACATTCAGAAGTGCTCCCTGTGGTGCTACTCCTATTTTATACCACTGATAAAATTTGTCAGTATTTTATCAATTTATAAAATGAAGTTACTATTATTTCAAATACTGTATTTATTGCCTTCACTTTGCTTAAATTATGTAGGGCTTCTTTCGTCTTTTGGTGGGAGGCAGCAAGGGTATCAGAAGGATATCTTGCTCAAAGGGTTAACTTTTTGTTCTAATAAACGCTTTGAGGACAGAGAGAAAATAAGGAATTTTAAAAAGCAAGAAATAGCTACTACTTTGGTACTGGAGCATCCTGATTAAAGATAAAGGATTCATTTTATGTTGTCCCCAGAACGTTAAATCACTTCCATCCTTGATGATACTAATGGCAAAAATAATTACTGAAACCAAAAATAAGTGAACACTTGATATGATTAGTTTATTTAAAAGGAGCTTGTCTCATTTTAAAAGTCCTCCAAACTAAATCTCCCTAAACTATATACAATGTAACATTGAGTTGAAATTCTTTTTCAGCCTTGCCAGTTCTCCCTTCTTTGTAGGGTTATTTAGGTAATCACTGGTTATAATTTACAGCCCTAATAATATTATTATACTCATTTGACACCAGTGTTACTAGCTACACAGTTGTAGCTCATTATTAATTATAGAATATTTTAACCAAAGCATACTTTTGGCAATATTTACTTTACATTAATCTCATTTTCCAATTCTCCTTGCTATTCCTTGTTTTCAAACACACTAAACACCATTATAAATCAATCTTTGTACTTTATCAAACAGCAGAGAGTAATAAAGAAGGTCACAACTCATAGAGGAGTTCCTTGGAGGTTTGTAACATCATGATTTAAATCTCAGAAAGATTTAATCAAAAGCTGAATTAATCCCTGGGGGAGAAAAGATGCTGTATAGATTCCATCCATGGGTACAAAGCAGCCTATTGCTTTAGACCGGTCTCAGTTAACATGTTGGAGAAAAGGAACAAAGTCTTTCTGTGAAAGGAAAAATATTATTTCCTTGGTTGGGGAAAAGATAATATGCAAAAACCTTTCTGGCGTGCTTCATCTCTGCCGTGGCTGATTTTCTCCTAGTAACTGTGGCACGATCTGGTTAAGTTAAATGTCCTCCACCTTCTCATGCCCCTCAATGTCTCCCATGTGATTCCAATAACTGTGCAGAATCCCTGGAGCTGCAGTCCAGTCAAGCATGTGGAATGTGTGGGTCTCATGGGCCGGTGTCCAGGTCCCTTCTGTGTAATCAGGTGACTGCCCCAGGGCACATTCCCAGCATTCAAGGACATTGAGAACTTGCAAGAAGAAGTGAACATAAAATTCAGGTATTTCCAGGACGAGGTCCTACTGAAAAACCCAGCATTGTTCCATGAGGAGGATGTGTGCTTGGGCAAAAGGCTGCCCACCTTCCCGCATGTCGCCTTCATATCCATAATTCCATAGGAATGTGACGAGGCTCTTCTCAGATCAGCACTCATTGCTCACCATGAGCACTCCTATAGATATGGCAGAGTGGAATTAATTAGTCGAAAAAAGAGTGAAAGAACTTTTAGAGGAGAAAACCAAATGATCCTATAATATTTTCATGATTAAATTAAATGAGCATAATTATACATGCACATATGCACACCCTGGCATTATTATAATCAAGAACCTTAAAATATTGTATTGTTTCAAATTTATGCATATAGCACTTAACTGAAGGCAAGTAGCTAGTGTGATATTTGAATTTGCATATTGACCATTTTCATATATTTTCATATATTAATTTCGAGTAGGAAGAAGCTAAATTATTAGCAAAAAATCCTGGGGTGATGGAGAAAAAATATTGTGCTTCTGCTGGTTTTTGAACATCAGGAGCACTTAGCAACATCATCTTTTTTTTTTTTTTTCCACATAGTTTTCTGTGATGGATTTTCGACAAGATGACATCCAAGTGAAAGCTGAAATTAAATGGGAAGGAAAGAATGTTAAGTGGTAAAACCCTAAATAGCTTATTAGACTACTTAATTGGAAGGAATTTATTTTTGCTGCTGTTAGGAAGTCTATAGTCAAGCTTCTCTTTAACAATACTAATTGATGGGGAAAAAAAGTAGCTATCGTAATATAGTTACCGCACAATACCCTCCAGCAAGTCATTTAAGGAAATTCACAGGTACTTTCCTGTGATTGACTTTGGTGGTGTTGAAAAAGCCCCGTTCTGTTTCCATTTGTATCATTGCTTTCTCACTTCATTTCCAACCAGGTCCCTTTCTTATTCCTATCACAGTGCACTTAAAGGACTTACTTAATTCTTAAAAGAAAATGAAGCCATGCTTATTCTTAGTTGAACCATTCACAGGTTTGTAGTTTGATCACTGCACCCTCTAATTAAATGTATGAGTAATGTTTCACAGGACTTAGAGATAGTACTCTCTGTGAACACTTCCCTATTTGTATGGATCACAGAATAGGGGTTAATTACTCTGCATCCTAGAGAAGGGTAAGTTAGTAAACTGGTACACAGCATGTGACGTGGCCATGTTAACTTTCATGTCAGATAACTTCATGATCACTTGCAACGCATGGCCTCATTCTCCTCCACTTGTCTGAATTCATGGGAAAAGCATCCTTTCCAGGGTCAACCGTATGAATCACAGTGTAAACCAACCACAATTAGAGGGAAAGTGCAACTTGAAGTTCACCACCCATCTGTTGGCCTCAGCTTCTGGAGGATGGGACCTACCTGTGTGTTGGGCTGATATTTCCCGTTTCCTGTGGCATGTTGGTAGCACACGAGGGGAGTTCCTGTGCATGCACCGATGAATGAATGAATTCATGGACACCCATAAGAGCTCCTTTGTCACATGGTGCCAGGGGCTCCTACAGACACTGCCTGCCACAGCATACCACGGCGAGGACTAAGAGTAAAAAGGTCACTTGAAGGAAGGAGAAGGTAGAAACAGAAGGTTAACCAAACAGACTTGAACTTCAGGTACAAAGCAAGGTTTGGACAAAGATTTTCCATGGTTTCCTTTTTGCCTTTTATGATGTCACTATGAATGGGATTATATAAACAAAAGAGGCAACTGTACAGCTAGGGCAGTGGAGCTGTGGAGAAGGAAACTTCTAGGGCTGGGCCCTGTGTGTGGGTGGTTCCGTGTCAGCTGTCAGGTCAGCAGCTGGCCTTTGCCACCCTGGTGCTTGCTTGAAGGGGTCGATTAAAATCCTGTTCACCACCATGCTGCTCCATTGACGGGAGGCCTGCAGGGATTTCCAAAACCTGGATTGTGGATAGAACTTTTCGACTTTAGTTTTGTGGGATGATAAAAGCATGATCCTACTGCACAAATAAGAAAAAAGGCTCTTCATGTTTCAACAATGTTTTCAGGGAGGCCCTCTTTTTTCTCTTAATTGATTCAATTTTAATACCTGAAAGTAGCTACTTGCATCAAGGGAAAGTCATAGGGTTTCAGCATTTCGAAGGTTAAATTTGAATTTCCTAAAAAGTCTTATCTGCTAGATACCAGAGAGAATGGCATTGGGAAGATTTAAAGGCATTATTTGCTTTTCTTCTTCTTTTTTTTTTTTTTATTACAAACTAGGTTTTATCAATTCTTTTTAGAAACTTGATCAATTTGCAGACTTCCTTTCTTGGAATCAGCTCTGAGACACTTCTGGGCATATGATTCCCAGAAATTAAGCCTCGAGAAATGATGTTCCTTAATCTGACCCTTTTCCTTTAATATCCCCATTTCAAAATAAAATGAATCTTCCTGTTGCAGAAAGAAAGAAAATATAAGAAGCTACTGTCCAGTTGAAAATTCACTAGATCCAAAGTGTTATGAAAGATGTGAAGAGAATGATAGTTATGATACATATATTGTGGACTTA